GGCGCGGGCACAAACTCCTTTGCCCTGCATTATAATTCCTTCAGAAGATGCAATCTAGCTGTTGTCCAGCAAGCATATTCAGATTATTCAGGATGCAACTGGTTGTGTGTTACTGTGATGTATGTGGTATAAAATGGTGTATTTATTTTTGAATCCTAGAGTGAGTGTTTCAAGGTCCTGATTTTGGAAAAGGGAGGAAAAAAAACGTGATGTCTGGGCTAATTAATTCTTGTTTGGAGTTGAGAAATCCCTTCAGGAATTAATTAGACACACCATGTATTGATTTTTCTTTCTTTTCCTGAATTCTGTGCTTTTAACAGTAAAGCCTAATTCACTTTGTGCAGGCTTAGTTCCTTTCCGTTCCACTTCGGAGGTTTCAATTTCCTTTTTAGAGTGCCTGGGAGAAATGCGTAGGAATATTCATAAGCGTTAACAACATCACTATGGTTCATCCTGATGCCCTGTGTAATGATATCTTCTGTATGTCGTCTGGGGGCGAATAGCGCAACTATATCCAAATGTGAAAGAAATATATCCGCAGTGCCAAGACGTCTAAATAAGTTTTTTTTTTTCAGTGACAGTTTGAAAGTTGGAATGCGAAAATCAGTTCAGTCACTGATTGTCACTCTTCTTTAATTCTGAATGAAGGTGAGGAGATACATGACAGTGTTAATTTCAACTCTTTTAAACAACTCTAAGATTCATTCAGTGTGCTTTCAGTGAAGTGTAAATTGCTTGGTTTATCGGCTTTTCGTTGCGATGAGAGGTTGGGTCAGAGGTGGACTTTCCATTCACCCGTGGTTTTCATTTTGAGTGTATTTAAAAAATGCTCTTCAAGGTCAGTGAAGATGGAGACACTCTTACCCATAAGCCCACTCAGTTTAGCACACTCGCCCAGGGGCCTCAGACTCAAATTACCTGGAGGCCACTAGTCAGGTGGTATTCTCAACAGATTCATCCAAAGCGAGTCCAGAATTACTGTGTTTTGCCAGGAGTGTTGAGGCTTAGCCGACAGTTTTGAAGTCCATTGGTTCCACTTCCAGCTTGCTCTGCTGCTCTTTATATCCTGTTTAGAGGAGCAAATATTTGTTCTGACGTTTTCAGTGTGATTTGCATTGTGAAATCAGAAAATGGATCACCGTTCAATATGTTCTGATTGTTTTGATTGATTCATAATTACCAAAAATGGCATAATTGGAAATGCACTTGTGAAAAGGAAGTGCACTTAATTGTACTGAGTGTACACTTGCAGTGGACTTCAAATGTTAAAAGCATCTTAAAAATCCCAATTTGTAGATCATATAATATTAATGAAAACAAGGCCACTTATGTGTGCTTAGAGTAAGTACACTTTAAAAGTATCTTAAAAAGTGGGCTTTGTAATGTCAAAATAAAAGTTGTACTTCAAAGCGATTTTAAATCGCTGTTTTAATAATATTTTGTAATGCTTTAAAGAAGTACACTTATTTTGATGTGTTTACTAACGTATTAAAGCACATTATGTACTTGATTATAATTTTAACCTTTAATATGTTATTCAGTATTACATTGTTAATATATTTTAAATGTGCTAAATTGCAACTTCATCATAACAAATATATTTAAATGCATGACATTCATTTTTCGATAGAAATTACATTGAATTATATTTTAGTTTACCATGAATGCTTGATTACATTCGTCAGTATACTTCAAACACATTTCAATATGTATTTGAATTTACTATTTCCTACGTATGTTGGTCACAAACACTATAAATTGCAGATAACATGCAAAATAACAGAAGTATATTTTAATAAAATTGAGTATAATGTTACGTAAGAACAAGCTATTACATTAAGTATGTTATTTTAAAGTATATTATTTCTTTAAATGGGTACTCTTTTCAAAATTGTGTGCTAAAGTGTTCTACTTTTCTTCAAAAGGAAATGTGCATATATTATTGATCCAGGAAAAAATATCATTTCACTCAAGCTAACACAAGCAAACTTTAAAGGTAATAGCAAGCTAACTTTGAAAGCATAAGATCTCACCCACACTGCAAATCACTCTCCAAAGCCACGGCTCCTCCAAAACACATGAACGCACACAGGCAGACCAGAGGCTAACCAGCTACATATGATGATAATTTTTAGGGATGCACCAAATGTTCGGCAACTGAATAAGCGAAAAGACTGAATAATATGTACTGAACAATGACGTGACGCGATCAAATAGAGGCCCGCACTAATGCAGTAAACATGTCAGCAGTGTGAAAGCATTTAAATCTGTCCGAGAAAGATGCAAAATCATTATAAGCACCGACAGCGAGAGACTGTTTAGTGCTGCATCGCATGTCTTCGATGAGAAGAGGAAGGGTGGCTGTTGCTGGTTATTGTATGATGATTGAAATTGCGAAATGGCCTTAAAGGGGTCATAGGATGCTACATGCACTTTTACAAGTTGTTTGAACTGAAATGTGTGTTGGCAGTGTGTGTACACAACCACCCTATAATGATAAAAATCCACCCGGTGTTTTTTTTTTAATCTCGTTAAATGTTTTCCCCTTGCTCAAATCGAGCCGATCTCAGATGCTTTTAACCAAACTATGTTACAGACTTTTCATTAAGACCCTAAAGAATCATATCAACTTGTGGAAAATGGGAATCATATGACCCCTTTAAACAATTAACAGCAGAAAGTTATGTTTTCTAACACATGCACAGCTAGGTTCAAAGTCCAAAGCGTGAGGAAAATCAGAGCTGAAACAGTGTTACTTGTCAGTTTTTAAAGGCGTGTGACAATGCGATACGTGCGACAAACATCTTCCCAAATTCGTAACGAGAATCATTTATATCTGCTGTCAGCTGCACTGAGGTCTTCCTGCGGGTTTCTGCCAAAATAAAAGCTGAGAAAAAGCAAGAACTCCGTCAACATTCATAAATGTTAGTATTGTAATTTTACTGTTGTTCTATAAAATCAAATAAAAAAAAAGTAAGACCGTAATAATGATGATAATAATTACAACAGCTATATTAATACATTTATTATAACATTCACATATAGTGTTCAAATTGGGATCTGTAATATATTATAATGTTTTAAAAGAATTCTCTTCTGGTCAGCAAGGCTGCATTTATTTGTACAGTAAAAAATACATGCCTGACAAAATTCTGAATAATTTGTAATATATAATTATTCACGGTATTTAGAAGTGCCCATGATAACAATATCGTGCATGTTCATTACCGTGATATATCGCATGACCGAATACCGGCACAAGTCTAGATGGTATAATGTCTGCTAGAATGTTAAAAAATTTTCAGTGTTAAGTAAATATTTTTTAAATTGTTGTTTTGTAATTGATTTTTTTCTTTGAAAAGCAAGACAAAACAGTAAAAAGCACATTTTGGTTATTTAATTTATGCAATTAGCAAAACACATGGGGGAAAAAATGTGAAAAAACGTGTTCGGTAATCGGCCTTCGGCCCAGTGTTTCATTTTCTTCGGCCAAGATTTTTAATTTCGGTGCATCCCAAATAATCTTATCTTAAGAGGAAAAATTTCCTGAACCAAAAATGCTTTTTTACACCTATTGTCATGTTTTATGATTCGATTCATCAGAGATTAAAGTGATGTGCATCCAGCAGATGTTGTTTACGAGAGGTCGAGACTCTATAGTGCTCAAGGGCTGCAAAGGCCAGAAGATCTATAAAAGATCAAGACCCTCGATGGAGCATCTCTCCCAGATGTTCAGCTCCATTGAATGAAACTCCACTTCATCAGGATGGGCTGTTGTACACGTTCATATTTCAATGGAGCCACTTGAGTTGAGATGTTTTTCATTTCAGGTTTGCTTCCATTGATTGAAGGCGAGCTACACCGGTAGACTTTTCAGAATTAATTAGTGTAATTTGTGATCCCCACCATTTTCTCAAGATGAGTTTTGGTACATGTTTATCATGGGCGCACGCATGTACATGCAATTTTTCATTCTCAATTAGTCAACCATATGAAGCGTCTATTTTTGTGGCTTGGTGCCATATAGGCTTAATTGTTTCTGAGATGTTGACTGTGGTACCGTATGTTGCTTTATTCTTGCTATCAATGCATCTAAGTTGTTATGACACATTTTTTCTTTTGCTTGGCAACATATACGCATCAATTTTTGTTCTTACTGTTACAGGCTATAATCAAAAGGACATGCCTGTACAAAAAGTCAATGATTCATCTGACCTAGATGCCAAGGTCCCTTCTCATCTCCAGCGCACATCTATAACAAGCCTCACAATGACCTCTGAACCCTCACACAGATGTGTCAAGGTTTGAAGCCACTCTTTACTGGTTTCTGCTCCAACAAATGCATGCTTGCATAACTTCCTCTGAATTTTATACTCCGAATTGCAATAAAACTTTTAGTATTACTTATTTCATGCTCCTACTGTTTTCTTTAAAAAAATTACATACTTTTCTTTAAAGCAAGACAACATTTCTACTTTAATTGTTTGTTTAAAACTTTTAATGTTGCTTCATGCCTGATGACAATGGTTTATTATTATATGCAGTTATATAACTTCTTTTTTGAATGATTCTTTAACACAATCTTGACTAAATGACCATTATATTTAAACTATAAAAACATGATTATTATAATTTTTGTTTATTATTAATCTAGTCAAAAATCAAGGATTATTATTATTATATTTTTGAAACTTCTTCTTCTTAATAATAATAATAATAATAATAATAATAATAGATGCCTAGCTGTTTCGTCATGAGATCTGGTGGTCAGTATTTATGGTCACGGATTTATTTGACATAATATTAAATTTAAAATTAATATAGACAGATATTACAATTTATTATTATTATTATTAAAATGTAAAACATTCTTCTTCTTCTTGATTATGATTATTATTAATAAATAATAGTGCTGTCAAACGATTAATCGCGATTAATCGCATCCAAAATAAGTTTTTGTTTACATAATATATGTGTGTGTACTGTGTATATTTATTATGTATATATAAATACACACACATACAGTATATATTTTGAAAAGATTTACATGTGTATATTTATATAATTTATATTATATATAAATATATTTAATATACAAATATAACAAAATTTTCTGAAATATATACATGCATGTGTATTTATATATCCAAAATAAATATACACAGTACACACACATATATTATGTAAACAAAAACTTTTATTTTGAATGCGATTAATCACTTGACAGCACTAATAAATAATAACAAGTGCCAAGATTTGAATGGTCACAGATTTATTAGACATATATTACATGTAAAGTTAATATAGACAGATATTTTATTATTATTATATTTGTAAATATATTAATAATACTAACAGTTTGCCGAGTTATATTGAGAATTAAATGGTCATATATAATTATATATAAAAATCTAGTAATACATTTTTAATTGGTTTGGACACTGTCTAATTGTTAAGCTGCACATATCTCATATGTTAATTTTAAAAAGTTAAATAATTTTCAAAAAAATAAACATCATTATTGGGTGAAATTCCTTAGAGACCCACCAACTGGTGCCATAAAACTGACAGCTGTTAATCAGTAAAAAATATGGTTAAACCAATTATTGGACTGCCTGTAGTTATCGTCTGATATTGATTATCTGCCATCATTTACATGTGGAACTGCATCTGCATTAACTACAAGTACATCATACTTTTGACAAAGCTTATCAAGCCTCACAGATCTTTCATTTATATGTAACAGCTTAAATTTTAGGACATTAAATCAATTTACAAATTTAGAATTTTCTTAAGCTTATACTGTATGCTGAGGAAGTGGCTTAATACATTGTAACTATAGCTATTCAGTTCTTTAAAGTGCTTATATGAGTTCTTTGCCCTCAATAGGCTAGAGTGGTTCACATAGGTCCTGTGATATCCTGCGCACAGAAAGATGGCATCGAAATGCTTAGAGCAGAGATCAAAGGTGAGTTTCCCCATTTGAATTTAAATTCAAAGACAGAGATCATGAACGAACCTGCGACGTATCAAGCTGATCTGTTTTGTCAGCAGTGACACTCAATCTGTCTGGCATTCACACCTCGCATTCCTGTTTAAAGCAGCTCTGCCGCTTCAGGTTTGAAAAGATTTGTATAGAAAAATCTGCCATCCAGACTGCATAGATTTTCCCCATTAAAATGTTAACTAGTATACTGCCGCATCTAGAGAAAAGAGGCGCAATATGGGGCCAATTTGATTGCCTAAAGAGGCTTGTTCAAAGCATGCTTCAGACTCGCTCGTGTCTGTGATTTTTAGCTCTCAGCCCTGCAGATTTTGAGTCTTGAAATAAAAGCTGTAGCCAGTCTCACTCTGTCCTTGCTGTTTTCTTTCTCTCTTTCTCAGAGGAGGACCCCCTTCAGAGAACTGCTGAACATACATCAATCAATGTCATTTTCTTTGGCACGTTGGCCAAGGACTTCTCCCAGTCTGCCAGACAAGGGGTAAAATATTCATTTGAGTATTGGTGAAATATATGTAAGGGCTGGGGAGAAGTAAGTGCTGTCAGTTAATGCTGTACATAATAATGGACTACATTATCATTTTTGCTGAACTTCTAATCAAACATGATTCGTACATGTTTAATACAGGTTGAGTTTGGGGCAGGAGACACACATGGCCCTCTCTTTGGGTTAAAAATTTTCCGTAACTTAACTTCACGCTGGTGAGTACAGCACATCTCTGTTTTTGAGAAATTTAGTTTAATTATTGTCCCTTTATTTATTTTTGTTAAAAATTGTAACTCTTGACCGTTTTTTTTTTTTTTTTTTTTTTGCATCATTTTGACCAAACGATCATTATAGCTAAAAGTTGTATTGCAAGAAACATAAGGCATTCAAAGTTTAAAAAAAATAATGAGGCATGTTGCCATGCTGTTTTTCATAAAATTGCTATTTAAATGCACCAGAATAACTGTTTATATACAGTAAATGTCGGTATTTATCTACAAATAAAACATTTTAATGCAGTACATGCCAAATGCCAAAAACAAAGACTCCGAAAATATTTATAGACAGTAATATATACAGAAAATAAGAGTTTTGATTCTGCGCTTTCTCTGTCCTAATGTTTAATGATGCTTAGTATTCAAATAAAAATGCATTTAAATCATTATGATTAGTAAAATCATCATGAATATATAAAAATGTTTAATTCAAGTTTCTGAATAAGTTTTTTTTATAATAATGTCTCCATATGCTATTTTCACAAAATTGTCATTTATATGCGCCAGTGTAATGATGATGTCTTGTATTCAGTATTTATCTATGAATATTTTGACTAAAACATTTTAATATATGACCAATGCAACAGAAAGACTCTTACGTGAAAAACAGTGAATAAGAGTTTTGATTCGTTGATATTATAAAACCTTCGTCCTATAATTCTCTTGAGACAAAGATCACTAAATCTAGTGCTCAATATCCAAATAAAAAGTGCATTAAATCATTGTGATAAGCAAAATCGCCATGAATATATAAAATAATTTAAAGCAAAATGCAGTCAGTTTTAAGTAACAAGTCGTGTTTCCATGCAGTTTTTCACTAAAATTGTTACTTATATGCACTAAAATAACTACTTCTATATTAATGTCAGTACTTATTTATAAAAAATCATTTTTTAAATAAAAAATGCTTTAATGTGCTATTAAAACATCTCTGTCCTAATGCTCTCAAGGATAAAATATCGCTAAATTAATCTGATGCTTAAGAGCCAAATGAAAAGTACAAAATCATCATGAATATACATCTGTGTTTTTTTTTGTTTTTTTAGGCATTTGCGACTAGTTTTTTCTCTCTCTTTCCTAATCAGCAAAATCCTACAATAATCGATTATAGAAATAATCAACAATGAATTTGATTATCGATTAATAATCCTGTGTGACAGTGTTCCTGTGGCTCAGTGGTAGAGCGTTGCATTAGCAGCGCAAAAAGGTCATGGGTTCAATTCCCAGGGAACACACATACTGGTAAAAAATGTATGCCGGAATGCACTGTAAGTCGCTTTGGATAAAAGCGTCTGCTAAATGCATAAATTATTAATCACTTCTGGATACTATACACTAACATTTGTCAGTCACTTAACGGAGCACAAGTGCACAAGTAAAATTACTATAGAAAACATAAGAAAACATTTTGTTTAAATAAAAAAATTTAAAAAATCAAGAAAATGTAAATTCTTTTGTTTATCCCATTGATTGGTAAATCAATTAAATAATCAAAAGATAAATCTGTATCAAAATAATTCATAGTTGCCCCACTTTTGGTTAAAATTCAAGTCTTTTTCAAGCATGATGTGGCAAGCAGTGGCGGCTCCAGGATTTTTTTGTTGGGGGTGCTAAGGAGGGGGGCTTAACAGTTCAGAGGAGGTGCTAAAAAAGTAATTAAATTGAGTGAAAGTAATGAATGCCTATAAGCTTCAGCTATCTAAACAGCATGCAAATTCAGCCACCTTGTGTTTTATACAGCCACTTTTTTATATACAGCAGCTTCGAAAAATACATTTTACTTTTTTTTTCTGTGGAATTAAACTTCTCATATGCCACTGTTATTGGTAATATAACTTCGAATGCCAACTGCCAAATATGACACTTACAAATTAATACAATTTATGAACGCACATATAAAAGAGAGAAAGTAGGGATTTTTTTATTTTTTCATTGTTTTATTTTATTTTTATTTATTTTTTACACATCTATTTAGTCATTTTTTCTGACCATCAAGTGTCAGTCACTCTCAATGCCAACTGGCAGGAAAACATGGTCAATTCTAACCATTTTTTACAATAGATAAAGTGCCAACAATTCATACAACTATTTCCACATAGTGGCATAGCGGATGGGCACGCGCTGCGGGTGGGGCCCCGCAATAACCTCCCCGTGCTGAGTTGCATCGTATCATGTGTCGACGATAGCCAGAGATAATTGTCAAAAGCATGAAAAATTGGTGATATTAAGAGGATTTAGCATTTCCAATTAATGTAGGCCTGTTACATTCTTCTTATTATTAGGCCTATTATTATTATTAGGTTACTTTTATTATTAAATTATCTATTATTATTAAATTACATGAAATTATTGCCCCTCATGATGCGCTGTGAGGATAAAGTTTAGGCTATTAGCTTACTACTCATTGAAAATGTTTTTTAAAAGTGTTTTTTTTTTTTAAACAGGTCTATTAATTTATACAATGAATTATAGGCCTATAATTAATTATTAAAGGGGTCATATGATGTTGCTAAAAAGAACATTATTTTGTGTATTTGGTGTAATGCCGCCTTTCTGAAACGCGTCGATTTTTACAAAGCTCATCGGTCTGAAATGCGAGGTGTACGCTGATTGGCCAGCTATCCAGTATGTTGTGATTGGCTGAATACCTTAAGCGTGTGACGGAAATGTTACGCCCTTTACCATACTGTGATAGAGCGACGAGACAAAAACATTAAAAAACCCATTATAAACGAGGCATTTGTTGCATCCAGTGGGGACATAATTACTGATTATAATGACTTATACTGTCTTTTTATGCGTTGCGTTACATTGCGCCACGTAAACATAAAACCATGTCTGCATTTGTGATCGGAGAAATGACAAACAACAAGCGCTACTCTACACTGCTCAAAACTCACGTTTGAAT